ATATAATATAATATAATATAATATAATATAATATAATATAATATAATATAATATAATATAATATAATATAATATAATAAACAAAAACAGATATGGGTCCCGTAAACTCGTTAAGTAATCACAACCTAACCAGAGCGAGGGTGAGAGAGAGAGAGAGAGTTTCTACACGTTAAAGAAGTTTCTAGTAGCGCCACATTCATAAATATGCAGCTGGTTTTGCGTCTGAGGTGTCGAGTAAAATACTAGTACGCATAAATACTCTTACTTTAAGTCCAATTGATTTAATTACATGTATGTTAAAAAGGTTGTTCTGCCAGAGGAAGGATAGATTAAAAGTACAGTTAGAGATGGACAATAACACCAGGTTGTGAGCTGGTGCAGTACTACTGGTACCGAGGTGTCTGTTGGAGTAGTAGAAAAAAACTTAAGCTGAGCCGCGGAGGGTGTTTTTTTTTTTTTTTTTTTTTTGGAGCCGCAGAGAGCCTATGGCAGAGTGATGTAGGATAAAATGTTTAAAGAACGCGTGGCAGACAAGTATGTGAGGGTGGGGCATTTTTAAGTGTAAGGGAACAATTAAACTAGTCACTATACTGTATAAGCCCAGTGAACATGTCCCTGATGACGTTTATAGAAAAAAAGTCACAGCTTTAAAAAAAAAAAGAAAAAGAAAAAAAGGTCGTGCTTTAGAAGTTCAGTGTCAACAAATAGCATATTTCAGGGAGATATTCGCGAATAAAGTTAAGTTTAATTTAGTCACACACGTCATGAACATAAAACACAGTACAATACTATGTTATTTTGTTGTTTATAGCTCTTTTATCTCTCTATTGTGCTGATTTATGGTCATTATATAATCATTTTTGTATAGTGTGTCACCGGTCTCTTCTAGTCAGAGCTCATTTGCTGCTATTAATGTACTTTCAACTAATAGAAAGTGTGTTAATGGAGCATGTGAAGTGAACAGGGACATGAACCACAGGCATTGATTGACAGCAATGTTGTCCGTCGGACAGTGGCGAGACAGCGCTCTCTACCGGCCAGCAATTGTAACTCGTGCTAAAGGCGATGTTTGAGTGCAATTAGAAAGTGGATCAAAATATAATGAAATAAATATAAAGTCGTACACCACAATCATTGCGTATTGTACAACACTAGTTACTGGTTATTTAAGCTAAATATTGATACTCATAAAAGATAAAAGACATAAAGGCCATACAAGAGCAAAAAACGTCGTATAAACAACAACAAAGAGATGGAAACTGATTATATATATGTGAAAATTTTAAACAGAATTGCTAAAACATGTGATTATCATTCATAAAAGTTAACATTTAGTGATGAAAATATATTTAGTTGTGATAGTTTAATTTAAAACGTAGGTGTGCTCTCCACTCGTGGGTTTTTCCCCCCGCTGGTACATGAATGCATCACAGTGGGCAGTGTCTCTGCCTGAAGCAGTGGTTCGCTGTGTTACGTGCCTACCGAAGAGATAAGTCACCATGCCTGCAGATGTGAGTAAGTGGAGCGGCCCCCTGGAGCTGCAGGAGGTCGATGAGAAGCCAGCTCAACCCCTGACCGTCAAATACGGCTCTGTGGAAATAGACGAGCTCGGCAAAGTGCTCACTCCAACGCAGGTTAGTCATTTAGCCAATGCGTAGTAGTTATGCTAACTGCTCTGCTAACTAAGCAATGCTCCTGAATGTTGGCCTCATTGATACAAGCGCTAAATCCGAACTAAATCACAGAATTCATACTAAACGTCACTTTATTAGTTTAAATGTCGTGAACGATAATGATTTGCAAACGCGAACATGGCCGCACAATGTTTGCAGGCGGTTTGTGTGTCTGACGCAGGTGTAAAACACGGGTAACAGCGGCCTCCAGTGGTAATGACGCTGCAAAACTTTGAAAAGCCTAGAAACTGGAACTTGGAAATATTTGGATTTGCAGGTGCAGAATCGACCCACCTGCCTGGAATGGGAAGGATGTGACCCCAGTAAGCTATACACACTGGCTCTGACCGACCCAGACGCCCCCTCCAGGAAGGAACCAAAATTCAGGTAGAAAAACTAAGCCAAATATTATGACATAAAGCTTGTCATGTAGAACAATTTTCTTACAGAAGATGTGTGAAGATGTGTACTGAATTGGTGTCAAATTAGTACCTTCTGCTGGTAATATGTGCATATTTAGTTGTACTAAATCTACACACTCTGTCCATGTCATTTTTGTTTCACACCATTGCCTTTATTAGCTATTAAAAATTAGCTATTTTTTACAGTTCCATTAATTCTTTCCACTAGTCCGGCTGACTGTGGATGATATACTGTGTGTCTTTCGAGATCTATTGTCAAATTTCCTCCTACTCTGTCTATAATCTGATTCACAAAATGTGTTCCGTTATCACTTCTGATGATCTCTGGAACACCGAAAGTTGGTATTATTCGTTTACATATGGCTTTTGCCACAGTAATCGCATCTGGTGTTTTACATGGAAACAATTCAACCCATTTTGTTAAAGCGTCTATGATTACCAAACAGTATTCATATCCTTTATCCTTATTCAATTGTATGAAATCCATGTGAATAACCTGAAATGAATATTCAGAAACTGGACATTTTTCCCGTCTTGTTCGCACCTGGCCCTGTGCATTTTTCTTGATGCAAATCAAACTTTGTCTACAAAGATTTTTAGAAAGATTTTATTATTCTATGACCCCTCCTACAGCCTGTGGTATTTGATTCTGCTCCATCTGTAACTGCACTTCTGCTGCAGGCTGAGTGCTTCGCACAGGAACATAATTACCATAATCTTTCTGCCAATTCAGTGGTCCCTCAATTTCGGGTTTCTTTTTGAAAGCACCTTCCAGTCTTTTTCTTTGCTTGTTCCAACCCCTTTTTTGCCATTACTTGTTCATTATTTTCCTCTTGCCTTCCTTTTATTCTCACCCTTAGAGTTAATTTAAAGACTAAATCTTCACATGATTTTACTTGTAATTTTCCTTCAAACTTCTTTTTCCATTTAGTTATATATTTTTGCCGACCCCGGATGATATCTATCCATGAATTTACCATCTCCTTCTAATTCTTCCTCTTTCTTCCCCCCACAGTAATAACTATGACAATTTCCCATTGTCTATATGAACTATACAGTTAGTGAGAGAACAAGTAAAGGAAGAATGCCTCTATTGGGCTTCAGTGGGTTCCACCGTGACAAGCTTCTACGGCCAGTATAAAACTGGACGCGGTCACAGTCTGGGAGTATACCTCAGAACCACAAAGAATTTTAGACTTCCACTTAGTTACTCTCCAATCACTCTCACATTCATTCCTAGTGTTAATATTTGTCTGAGGGAAACCTTTTCCCACTGACCTGTGGTGCCCAGCACCGTGGTTCTCTCCTGCTTCTTGCCTGCACTGCCTCAGATCCCGTTGGATTCAGTGAAGGGTGAGGGAGGACATCAACTGTCCACGGTGAAAGGTGGACTTGAATTGCTGTGCACAGACTTCAGAGGCGTCGTCCCACACGTCATCTGTTGAAATCCGGCTCGAAGGACCAAGATGTTGGTGCCGAAAATTATGTTATTCAGTCACCTCTATTGTCATCTAACTGATACAGATAGAATGACCTGAAAAGAACCACACCTGACAACGTTGTACGTTTTACTCGCTGCGAGGGGGACTTGAGTGAGACAACTCTGCGAAGCTGTTGGTCTCTCTGCTCCCCCTCCCAAAAAAGCAAGTAAGCTTTAGTCAGCCAGAAATGTAGCAAAAAAATTGCCCAATATTAGTTAACAACTCAAGGTTAGCCACAGATACCTAGGAAATTATAACTCAGTCAAACGACACCTAAAAGTTAGCAGGAATAACCACAGCTAAACAGATCAAGGAAAATATGTTTAAAATAAACAATTGTCAACAGAAAACAAAATATATTGTTGATAAGATTGAATACAAAATAATTCATGCTAAAAATAATGCATTCGTAGCCAAGTATGTGGTACAATTATAATCAGATACGTAACAATTAACTTAATTCCTGGAGAGACAGGATAAGTGTATGTTTTATCTCATCATTTTCCTTTTTTTTTATTTCTTTCAGGGAATGGCACCATTTTCTATTGGTCAACATGAAGGGTAATGATGTGTCCACTGGGTGCGTCATGTCCGACTACGTGGGCTCTGGACCTCCCAAGGGCTCAGGTAAGAGAATACATGTCTTTCACATGAATGGATAATAAACAGACAGAAAAGTTCTGCAGCAACGCAAGGAAAACTGCATGTCATCGTTCACCCGCCAATGAGTTCCTGAGAATGTAAGTTTTTGTCTCTCGGTGTCATTCAGGGCTCCACAGGTACGTGTGGTTGGTTTATGAACAGTCAGGAAGCCTGTCCTGCACCGAGACGGTCCTCACCAATCGCTCCGGGGACGGTCGCGGCAAGTTCAAGATCAAGAATTTCCGAAAGAAGTACAACCTGGGAACCCCAGTAGCTGGAACGTGCTACCAGGCAGAGTGGGACAACTATGTCCCCAAACTGTACGAGCAGCTGGCAGGAAAATAAACGTGCACTAAATTCTCAACAGTTCAGCACTAGGAATTTCTGATGTTGATTAGAAAATTCCCAATTCTCTAAAATGACATGTTAATGATTAAATTTTTCTTCTGCTTTTTGCTTTGTTCTCCTAACGATGAGAACTTTTGTCACGTGTCAATAAATCTGTTAAAACGCTGACGTGAGTAGAAGTTTTCTTTTTTACCTTTTCATAATGTATGTCCTAAAATGTTTTTTGTCGACAACTGAGATCAATTCTAAACTTACAAAGATGGTGGAAACCCACCAGCCAACTCAACACCTATCTCATTTAATTGTGATTAATCTTGATTAATTGTGATTAAAAAAAGAAGAAAAAAAAAGGTCAATCTTTCAACAGCTTTAATGATGACATCTTTGGTTTGCGTGAGGAGCACTTTATTTACAAATGTAATTAATAGCTCTTACAAGAGATCCATGCTTTCTTTTTTAAACCTGTGTGGAAAATTTTTTTTTTTAAAGTGCATGCAATAATAAAGCGTTATACTGGTCTGGTTGTTAAGAAACTACACAGCTCAGAGTTGTGTAAAGCCCAGAAAAGATGCCAGAATACCTATTGACTGAATCTCAAGTATGATCTGAGGACAACAGCGAAAGAAAGCGCCATTTAAATCACCTTTCTGTGACAAGTTTACATTTTTTAAATACTATACGAAAATAAGTAAAGGCTTTTCATAAATCCTTCTTTACA